CTTCACAGCAGGGAGTCCATACCTGACACTGTTATCAGGGAGAAAACCTGTTGCTAGACAAATCACGGGTCATACGGGAGAACCTACTACTATCACCTTACTAAATAGACACACTAAACTGATTCACAGTGACATATTGTTATACCCATAGATTAGTGCATCTCTCATCTCTCACCAAGGAAGGCTTTTCTGGCAGCCAATGGAGACTAACAGAAACCACAAATGGTCAACATGCAGAGAATAAGAGACTGTGACATGGTCAGCCCTAAATGGCACACCTTTATCCCACCTTCTCCCAAGGCTCAGGGATTGATGTGGAGGAGAGAATGGAAAGATTGTAAGGGCCAGAGGTGGTGGATGAACACAAGGAAACTGTGTTGTCTGGACACCACAGGGCAGTTGCACATATAAACCCACAGCACTTCTGACAGCATGCACAAGACCTGTGCAAGCCCAAACCAGACAGGGGCTCAGAATGGATGGGGGGAGGTGAGCAGGAAGCCCCAGGCCCTGGATGAGAGGCTCTACTGGCAACTGACAACTGCTGGGAGAGGGAGTGCCTGCTTTCCTTACAGGTGCGATGCCTATTAGGTTGAGGAGACTCCAGGGCATGGACCCACACCCAGGAGCATGTGGAAGGCTCAGAATGGGCTCAAAAGTCCTTTAAAAAACAAAGATTTAAAAATAAATGGGCTGGGTATGGTGGCGCATGCCTTTAATCCCAGCACTTGGGAGGCAGAAGCAGGCAGATCTCTGTGAGTTTAAGGCCACCCTGGTTTGCATAGGGAGTTTCAGGCCAGCTGGCGCCACAGGGAGACCCTGTCTCAAAAAGACATGATAGATGATAGATAGATAGATAGATAGATAGATAGATAGATAGATAGATAGATAGATAGATAGATAGATAGATAGATAGATAGATAGATAGATAGATAGATAGATAGATAGATAGATAGATAGATAGATAGATAGATAGATAGATAGATAGATAGATAGATAGATAGATAGATAGATAGATAGATAGTAGATAGATAGATAGATAGATAGATAGATAGATAGATGATAGATAGATAGATGATAGATAGACAAATAAAATTGAAAGAGAAAAGGACAGATGACAACGAAGGGCATGAAATGGAGAGGGTTAGTGGGGAGGGACAGAGAAGGGAAAGAATCTGAATATGAGTTAAATACATTGTATGAAATTCTGGAATCAGTAAAAAGAAGTTTTTGAAGAACAGTCATTGTTTTGGTCATGGAGAAATAAGTATTTGAAAAGTAACTTTATCTAAACATTATACAATATATACATCAAAACATCACATGGTACCCTGTCAATGTGTATAATTTTTATGTTTGTATGCATCCATTTGATTTTTAAAAAGCCATGCTAGACTATTTATTCTTTTGATTCTGTACACATCTAACTTTGATAAACGTAGAAGTTAAACTTTACAAAAGGAAAATGAGGCAGGATGTCGAATCAACCAAGGTATTTAGCAATAGGTGCATGGATAAAGAAACTGAGGTGTGTGTGCACAATGAATATTATTCAGCTGTTAACAGGATGAAATCCTAGGCTGGAGAGATGACTCAGTAGTTAAGAGTACTGACTGCTCTTGCAGAGGACCTGGGTTTGAGTCCCAGCACCCACTTGGTGGCTGACAACCGTTCGTAACTCCAGTTCCAAGGGATCAGATGCCCTCTTCTGATCTCCACAGGCACCGCATGGCACGGGTGTACCTACATGCAGGCATTACATTCATACACATAAAATAAAAATAATAAAATATTTCTTAAAAATTCGAAAAGAAGGAAATCCTATCATCTGTGGCAACATGGATGGAATAGAAAGAAATAGTGAAATAAGTCAGGTGCCCCTAGACAAAGTCCCCATGTTCTCACTCCTTCCTGTGTGGAAGCTAAAAATAGTAATCTCAAAGGAGGGAGCAGTGGAGACCACCAGCTTGGAAGAACAGAGGCGATAGAGAGTGGTTGGATAGTAGTTACCAAAACAGATGAGGAAGAAGGAGAACTAGGGTTCTCCCACACAGTACAGTAACCGGAGCCTACAACAACCTGCTCTGTAGTTCATAAGCTGAAGGAGAGGAGCTTGACGCCTCGAAACACAGAAATGTGACCGCTGGGTAGGGGGTAGAAGTGCTGGCAGGCCTTAACTCCTGCATATGGCGTATTACTGAGTTCCCGTGCCATGTCCTATAACTATGCCATGTCAAA